GTGTCGGTCCTATTCACTCATTTGCCACTTCGCCCACATGGCCATGGACGTGCAACTTTGCCCACCTGCCACTTCACCTACCTGCCACTTCGTCCACGGCTTTTGTTCAAAATCGAAAAGAACACACAGAAGCACCAGCTACTATTGGCAGGCGCGGTTGGGGGGGGGGCGGCGCTAACTTTTGTTTACCCCCACCCAAAGAAAAAGCCAATTGGCTCTAGAACCGCACCTACTACCAAACAGCTCCTGAATCCATTCTGAATGCCAGCAAAAGATTATCAGGCAAACTAGAGGCGTCTTCTTGCATCAACGTATTTTTTTCATGAGGTCTCGGCTATAAGCGTAAATCCCAGGGGATGTGACGTGGGGGATGTGCTATTGAATCCCTCCCCGCACACTTTTTCATGGTGAGCAAAAAAGTTAAAGCGGATAGTGGAGAATTTTTGGACACCAAAACGACTAAAATGTACTGTTGTTGTTTTAGTTTTAATGGCGCTTGCAGCAATTCAGGCTATTTGAGCCAATAACTGTACGTTTATTCGTACACTTTATAAATCAGCATCACATTACGGAGTTACGAAGAAGATCCAGTGTTAGAGGCAGGAGGAAACCGAAGTGCCCGGAGAAAACCTGCGAGAGCGAGTATGGACTGGAAACCGGATGCACTTAAAGCCTGGGCCAAGCCGGGACTCGAACCCGGGCCTCATTGGTGCAAAGCGAGGAAAGAACCGCTACGCTAACACGCCCCCCCCAATATCACCAGTGGTGTTATTGAGGTCGTCGTTTGTTAGTATGGCCCCCTTCCATCATAAATAAACTACATCGTTAGTGTTCTTTGAGCCAACCTGTGCATTTGTAAAAACACGTACTGATATTCAGTGTACCTCCATGATTCAATGTACATGTACCGGTACTGTTGCCCATTCAATCCGCTGCTTTCTGCACTTGGGAAATCTGTAGATACCAGATGTGTTTCTCTTTGGAATCTGCACTTTGTCTTATACAACCCCAAACACAACAACTGGATACTGTTTCCTTCGGTAGTACTCCAAGCTATGTTCAATGGTAAGCTAAGTTCAATGGTAAGCTATGTACATGTACGTACATGTGTGTACATCGAACATCAGTACGTGTGTTTACAAAATGCACCGGTTGGTTCCAACATGGTTCCAAGAACACTGACGATGTAGTTTATACTGCACGTACTTATAATGGAAGGGGCCACACTAAGAAACAAAGATCTCGTGCACACAGGAAAAATTACGTTTTGTAAATATTTTTACAGAGCACTAAAAACTCCACTTAGATTAGAAACTAATAGTGAACACGATTTAATGTTATTTTCTGAAGAAAAAAGTGAACAAAGTCAGAAAACCTGAGAGAAAATTATCATCAAAGTCGCACTCCTGTATATTTTCAATGGCCCGCTCACACTTTTATCTAGCCGCCACGGCCATTTGTGCACATGCGTGCATAATAATGATTTTATTAGTGAAGAGGTCTATTGACCTAACTTATTCAGCATCTAGATTGACAGGACTAATCGCACATGTTCAACCGCAGCTGGCAATAACGGTCCCTATATAATAGGGACGGGGATCAGTCCAGAAGGCGAAGTGGTAAGGGTACAGTCTACTAATTCAAGCCCCATTGAAAACAGTGTAAAATCAGCACTGTTCAGGGTCCAATAACATGCACGCCAACATCCCTGAGATTTCTGAAACACAAATGAAATTCTTGTCTGGTCTCTAATCTTTCAATTTCTTTTTTTTTTTAATTTTTTGGGGGTTAATCAATTACATTTTTAATTATTCCCACAAAACAAAATCAATCCCAAAAATGTGATTTTTCCGAAGTCTGATTGCAGCAATTTTTGAAGTGTCAACCCTAAACTTTCTCGGGCACTTAGGACCATTTTTCAACCGTAGTTTTTAGCCATTCTGCTCTCATATGAAAGCTCAAAGACCCAGGGAGTTGACCCTGGCAAGGATTTACACAATCTCACCATTTTGGGCGCCAAATAATCTCCTTTTCCAAAAGATACTGCGGGAGACACTTTTAATGCTAATGAGCTGGCCAGAAATTCTCACTTGGATATGATGACTCTATCCCATTCAGAGACTCTCGCTCTTATAAATTGAATCCAAACGAATAAACTTTGGATGCTTTCGAAAAAACACACACATGTTTATTCGAGGGCGTGTCACTGTGTGATTTATTTCTACGTGGAGACTAAAATGGAGCCTCGGGTGGGTAGAAATAATAAGAATTAAACTTGTGTAGACCGAAATCATGTTTACCGAAGCTGTGGGTTGGGTTGTACCTGAGAAAGTAGCGGGAATGCATTTTCGTCCCTTTGGGGACTCATCAGCCGCTTGATTCAAATATGAATCGGGGTGTACAGGTATGGTTAGTGAATGGAATGGCACTCACCAGACGGAAAAAGTGATTACTGTTTCTCTGATCATGATATTTCTGCACAATAAGTTTGAATGGGTATATTCATTCAAAAGTGAAATGGGAATATCTAGAGCGTAATCAGATTCCTCAGGTGTGGTGGACTGATTGTCCTCCGTGCAGTGATGTAGTCGAGTACTTTTTGAGAACCAAGTTCTCCACCAAATATTTAACTAGTTAGAAGGGAACAAAGCTGAAGCACATCGGCATTTGATGGTACATGCATAAAGGTAAGATTACAAAGTAACATAATGACTTCAGACCATCACTGTTTGATTAAAATTAACTTTTTAGGACAAAAGTACTCGGAAAGTACTCGGCGAGTACTTTCCGAGTACTTTTCTCCTCAAAACTTAAATTTTACACATCTGGGAGTGTCTGAAGTCTAACATTTATTTTGTAATCTTACCTTTGCACATTTACCATCAAATGCCTGAGCACTCTGGCTTTATTCCCTCTTACTCAGTTCAGTATTTTGCAGAGAACGTTGGTACTCGGAAAGTACTCGACTACAACACTGCCTCCGTGTGGCTGAGTTTGGCTCTGACAATGTTCTTCTTGATATTTTAATTTCGGCTACCTTGTAGGCAACTAAAGGAGGTTTTGGGAAAACTTCCTTTAATGTTGGGTTGCCAGAGATGAGGTGCCAATGTTTAAGAAGAGCTCTTTTGATATCTTTGTGTTTCACATGAGGATTGTGCATAGTGGTGAAGACGAGTGGAAGTTCTTTTTTGTTTTTCACTTTTCGATCATTGTGAATCATAGATCCCTGTTGCCGGAAATCAATGGACTACATCCATTTTTGAATCTCGGCTTGATTATTGCCTCGTTTCAATAGTTTTTCAGCGAAACTTTATTGTTTTTTTTAGAAAAACATTCCCATTATTTGTATTTCTGGCATATCTCAGGATTTCTCCTTTGATGAAGCCATGGAATACGTGTTGTGAATGGGATGAAGTTCTTTTCAGGTATTGGAACGTTTCCGTTGGTTTCGTAAATACTTTCGTATCCAGGGTACCGTTTGAGAGGAAACGCGGACCTTTGAAAATTGTAAGGTCCAGGTAGGCAATGGAAGTTTCGGATGCCTCAGAAGTGAATTTGAGGGTGGGGTGCAGTTGATTCATGTGGTGAACGAATTGGGTGAAAGAATCGAGTTGGCCATTGTAGACGATGAGAATGTCGTCTCTGAATCAAGCCCAGAATAGGATTTTGTCCATGGGGGCTGAGATTTCTGACTCAAATTCATGTAAAGCTATGTCGCAAATTTCTGGGCTTGCTACTGATCCCATTGCACATCCGATTTTCTGTCTGAAGAATTTACCTCCAAACTGAAAATAGTTGCAGCGTAGAACAAGTTCTAGGAGAGTGCGGATGTAGTTTGATGGCGTAGCCGAAGTTTGTTGTGTTGTATGCTTTGCATACCGATTCAGTGGCTTGCACCTGGTGAATGTTGGTGTACGTGGAGACAACATTGATGCTTGCCAGGAGTGAGTTTTGGGGAAAGTTTCTTTTTCTAGTTTCCGAAAAATGTCCGTTGTGTCACGGAAATATGTGGATTGGGCGGATATTATAGGAAGGAGGAAGTAGTCCACATACTCAGAGATCTTGGCCGTTGGACTTGTGCAACCACTGATGATGGGCCTGCCGACAAAGGGTTCACCCGGTGGGGGTGTTTCATGTATTTTCGGAAGAAAAATGCATGGTATGGCAGCTGACATGTTGCTCAAGTGGGTCAAGATAGGCAAACGAGTGTTTGTCAATGCATTTGTTTTTGAACATGTCAATGAGGACTTGGTGAACTTTGAGGGCGGTTTCCTGGCACATATCTCTGTCTACTTTTTCGAAGTGGTGGGAGCTGAGATGTTTGAAACCAACGTTCAAATAGTCTTCTCGGTTCATGATACAAATGCTTCGGCCTTTGTCTTAACGTTTGATGACAAAAGATGGGTTGTCTTTGAGTTTGCAAATAGCCGCCAGTTCAGCTTTGGACATGTTTGGTCGAGTGTTTCTCAGTCTGACGTGTGCTAATTCCATCTTGGTGGCTTCCAAATAATTCTCAAGTGAGTTACACTTGGGGATGCCAGGTGGACGGAAGTTTGAAAGGCGTTTGTTTCAGAACTTTGTTATGCACCAGAAATGCAATTCTCATTCGTCTTTGATATTTGTGGGTATCATGAAGAAGTGAGAGGCGGTTCGGTTTAGCCGGGGTGGGAACCAAGTTTAAACCTTTACCCAATGCTATTTTCTCCGTTGGGGAGAGTAAAAGCCTGTGTAGGAAAACTAACAAGGAAGCACCCACCAAGTGCACACGGGTGCCTTCTACATGGGGTGTCTAGAAGGAGATGTGGATTACATTCCAAGTAACAATGGTTAACGTGCACCTGGGACTTTTCCAGCAGTTTCACCCGTACGCATTTTTAAAAACATTTTCCCGCCAAAATTTAGATCGGCACAGCACAAGGTATTCTCCAACTAAATGCCGAAGAACACGGGTCAAAAGTTAAAATCTACAACTTAATGAATAACAATCGATCGGCACTTAATTTTGAATTATGAAATATCCAAATTTTATATCCACAATTAATTTACAAACTGACTTTGAGTAGATTTTAAATTATAGCATTCAAGACGAAAATAAAATAGAAAACGACTGGGAACGACTCTGTTAATCAATGAACACAAATCTTGTTTGCAAAACGAAATATGAAAAAATATCTGCCGCCTGATGATTATGGCTACTCAAAATCAGAAATTTTTCATTACATGTAACCTGAAGCTTTCCATTTGTATTCTGTAAAACGGCATGCAGCTATAAAACACAGTATCATTTTTTCTTTTACTAAAAATATTTCAATGTAAGTGATAATATCTTCAGAGTTGGTGCAAGCAATCCCACTAGTTAATGCATGTGAAAACAAATCCGAGGGTACAAAACTAGTCATATGTACATGTATAACGATGACAAATACATCTGCAGTGCGGATGTTACTGGTTCCAATAATATTTGACAAGCTCTCGACTCAAACTCGAGAGGTTCTGCTGCGAATTATTAAAAATGACCGTGTTGTATTTAACTCCATCATAAGACCCTACAAGTCCTTCATCACAAGTCATTCAGTCTTAAGCCAGTTCACAAGTTTTTCAAATGAGCTTTGACAAAACCATTTGTTGTCGTTGTTCACCCTGTTACTTATGACTGGCCTGGTGAATGGACTTGTGAAAAGACGTGTGATGGAAATGGAATACAACAAAGCAAGTTGTGGGCATTGTACAAAAAAGAAGATTCCACGAATGACTTGTAGTGACTTTAAAAGTGTTGTGACCAGTGACAATACACCGTTTTTTATAAGAAAAACAGCACATTTCTTGAACAGATTCCATTTGAACAAAGTCACCTAGGGCTGCCTTTTGCTTTGCTAGAAATTTTCCAAGTACACTGTATAAAAAGTGAACTGAGACCTCACGTCTGGGGGCAATAAAACATTTGTAATATGCATATAAATACAGTCTAGCACTAATTCAAGTTTCGTAATGCATGAAGGCTAACCACGAAATGTGGTAGCTCAAACACAGCAATGCAGTATTATATTAAGAATATGACTTGCATTAATAGACATTGAGCCCAAATTGAAGAGGGGTATGTGTGATAAAGTCTTTGAACTGCTGAAAGAAAGCGAAGCACTGAAAATCACCTTGGTAATATTTTATTTTGCCATAACCTGAAGTGAAAAACTGTAAATTAAAAACATTAATTTTCTGAGGGATATAATGATTCTTAATTCTTGATGTTAAAACACACAGCAAGAACAAAAGAAAAAAAAAGCAAATATCCCTCCCACAATATGTGCTTGAGACCAGCTCAGGAGAATGGATACGACCAATGCCCTAGCTGCAGAATCAGTGTTCAGTGTCCTAACAAATGATGATCTCGTGCGCACAGAAAAGTTACGATTTTAAAAACTTTTTACACAGCACTAAGAATTCCACTTCAATTAAAAACTAAACAATTTAATAGGATTTTCTCAAGAAAAAAAACGAACAAAGTCAGAAAACCAGCAAGAAAATGATCATCAAAGTCGCACCCCTGGACATTTTCAACAGCCAACTCACACTTCTTGCCGCAAATGCCATTTGTGCGCATGCCTGCATAATTATGAATTTATTGGTGAACAGGTTTATTATTACTTCACGGCAGGCATTATCAAATGTTAATACATGGTCACATGATGCATTTTGATGAACAGGAATAGAAAACTATCCCAGGTATTTATGAATGTGTTTTAAAGATTTTCAATGATATCTTGTACACTTACAGCTACTAACTCAGCAACACTGTTTAAAATGCAAAAGCCACAAATCTCTATTTGCTTGGTTGGTCTCATAACCTTAATACATTTTTGGCAAAAGCTAACTTCAACTGACAAATCACTGAAGTGGATTACTAAATTATGAAACAGTAGGATTATCTTCCACAAATCTAACTCTCTTTCCTTAGTGATATCTTAACAACACGTTTCACTGCTTAATCATGCCATCTTGACAACAGCACTCCTTTTTGCTTTGAAATCATGGGACTTATTAATCCATGACAGCAAGGATGCAAGAAAATGAAAATATCCTTTGACATACAAGCAAACTGAAAGACTTCCAGCTCCAAAGGATACAATCCACCAAACTTCCTTGAAACACCAAACACACACATTACATGTAAAGTAAAATTGAATCGCTTTCAATGCAGTCTTTACATTGTCTATACAGCCTACAAAAACGTATTTCCTTTGGGATATCTATGAACAGAATCTGTTGTAAACTACTACGTAGCCAGTTGGTAAAAAGTTCACAATAAATTTGGACACACACTGGAGATGATAAGGTTAAACAAGTTTAGCAAACCAGTAACAAAGCCTTTATATGAATCTGTTTGAATGCACTAGTGGACTTTATTTATGGATCATGTGTTGGGTCTGGGGGGAGTTGACTGAAAGCTTCATAGACATTGGCAGCAAAGTCTTTCACACATTTCATCAGCAGCAGCTCCTGTTCAAAATAAAAACAATCCATGTACAACAAAACATTAGCTTTGTCTGCAAATAGGGCTCTGCTGCAGCTTTATAACGCTTTAAACGAAGGTAAATGGCCTGTTCACTGGCTACAAACAGACTTTTGTACTGTCTTTTACACGTGGTGACATTTGTAGGTTTCCTCTGTTGCTGTCATAATACTTCTGAGATTCTTGCAACTGGGAATTTGACAGAAACTGTGAAACCCATGAGATTAAAGCCAACAACTGCATAAGTGGCAATTAAAAACTGTTCAAGTCAGAATCTGGAGCTGAACTCTGGAGCATACTCAAAAACTAACCCAAATATACATTTGATATTTGAATAATTCAATCAGTTTTAACTGCGTCCATACAAATCAGTACAGCATCTATCAAGAACTATAACTGGCGCACAAATACTGCACACAAATCACTGAATCCTTTCCTTTAAAAAAAAGGTAGCACTTTTGGTTTTGCCAAGTGTGTCTTGGATAAAGTCATTTGCAAATATATTTCCAGGGTACATAAAAATAAAATATATAGAATGGTTCACGTTGTAGCCTGCATAAACTATTTTGCAACACAATGTGGCATTTCAATGTACATGCAGAGTACTGACACATTGTTCTGGCACTGGTATAAATGGCTACAGCTCTCAAGTTCAATGCAGTCTGCAAAATCGGAAGCCATAGCCATAAGTGACTGGGCCCGGACATGGATCACACTGACCTGTGCCACATGTCAACTAAATTGACACACCTGCAGTGCTCCGAGAACATTGAGTGTTCATGAGTTTTCTGTGGACATCCTTGACCATGAAAGCATACATGCCCTAAATACACACAATGATGTTTGGCACCTACAGAAGCTGAGCAAATGTATGTTTATGACTAAATATGTTTATTTCATAATTGTATTTATGATTTACAAACTTTTAACTGAAATTTAGTTTTCTGAAAACCTTTAGATGATACTGGTCAACCAATTCAACGAGTCATGACTGTGACATGTGGGTTATTCTCTATTTATCGCAATTTTATAGGCACAAGTGTTTGTCATTAAGAAATTAGACTCACTATTGGCACTTGTAACTAGGTACTGGAAATCAGAACTTTTCCCCTTTTCTTTCTTCAAACCTGAACCATGCGTCTTGCTTCAAAGCAATTTATGCTGTGATACAAATTGACAAGTACTGATATAATCTTCAGAAGACACCTTTCATAGCCCAAGTGTTACATTGAGCTTTGAAATGTAACAGTTGGAGGTTACAAAAACAGTTGACGTCTTGTAAACCTGAAATGTTGTTCTGTGACACTGACAGTTTCATGAAGGATGGTTAAAGTCTGGCGACGTAAATTCAAGGGGGTAGATGACAGACTAAACCAAACGCAAAATTCAACAACGTGACAAAAAGCTTTGAAAGTTTGAAAACTTTCACTCATTTGAACTGTTAAGGTCAGCTGCAAAGTTTAAGCTGGTGAGATCGTCTTCAAGACAGACAGAAAATTGTTTGGTTAAATGATCATTGTCGCCCACAGCAAACAGATCAGTATGAGTGAAGTTCTAGCGCGCCCACTAGAACCGCTGTCTTAGGCACTTTCCAACGGTGATGGGTCTCTTCGCTAGACTAACAAAGCTGCACTTGCCAGAGAGCTTGAAAAGAATGTGATGCCAGCAAAATTAATCCCCAGACCATCACCATGCATCTTAGATGGGATAAATCTTATTCAGAAGATGAACGGCACTGGCAAGACTTTTGTAGAGTTGGTGGAATCTTCTCTGCAATAAGTGCTGCGCAAGGGAGTAAATGTTATATTCAATATTTGAATGAATTAATCAAAGATGCTGAGGGATGAAATCGAGGTCCAGCTCTGGAGTTCAATTCAAGAACAATGCATCAGGCCAGAAAATCCAACTGTGGTGAAAACATCTGTGTACATGTAGCTCTTTCAATAAGACTAGCCTCATCCAAGATTGGAAATTGCTCAAGTATTTAAATTAAACAGGCTCAAGGACAAGGTGCTTTTTGTCCCAATATATTGACAGTCCAGCTATCAGATCATGTTGAATAACTAGGAGGAAATAAAAGAACTGGAGTTGTTCCTGAAGAAAAATGACACCTGTGTGCTTCTCCATGCATGATATGCATTGGAGCATAGCCACAAGTCCATCATAATCTCTTATGGAGATACAAATGTCCTTATCCTGTGTCTTTGCTTCACTAAGGACATATCTTGCCCTACCAAAAGTGTTGAACACTGAACCGAACAAGATTGGGGGGGATATAAAGCAATCATTACTACTGAACTGATATACGGTGGAGGGAGGTCAATTTCGAGGATCTTTCCAGCGATTACTTTTCTAACAGAAAGCACCAGCCCTTCCTCGCCTCGTGACATCCATAGCGATAATGATTAACTCACTGATGACAAGCATGATGACACAAGATCTGTTGAAGTTGGGGGCTTTGAGATATGTCTAATATACTGGTATGAATCTGGGGCTGTGGCCCAGCAGGGAAATGGCAGCTGCCCGGGCTAGGCGTCCCTGCATTTTGAGTCCATCGTTTTCCCTAAATTGATGTTGCTTCTTTTCTTCTGAAAATCAATCATTTGGCATAACATTTCTCAGCAACCACAGAAAAGGTTTAAAATCTATGTTCATTATGTTGAAGAATCTGTCCAGATGCAGGCATGATTCAATGTGTTATCAGAAACCTGGAGAACATGAAGTCTGAGTTTTTGCAGGCATATATGTCTGAAACCCCAAACTACATGTACACCAGACTGGGGTATTTTTTATGACAAAAATTTAACAAATTGGGAATTGCCATTGAAAATTGGATTGGGGGCACTTCACACTGTACCCCTCCAACACAGTACTGCAATTGCTGGTTGATACCTGTAATGCAATATTCTGCCTAAATTACTGCCTAATACCAGCTTTCACACAAGGCTGCAGTCTCCTGCCCAGTCTCTTGTAATTCTGGGATGCCAAAGCATGATCCACTTGGTATGTACATATACATGTAGCCATTGATTGGTTCATGTTAGTGTATGTGATCTGTGTGTTTGACAGGCTAAGTTGGAAACACCAAGTGGCACCACTTACAATTCTGCAGACAGAGCAAGTCTGACATTGGCTACAAAATGATGTTGCGCACGGTTTAAGTTCTCTGATTCAGCTTAATGCTGTAATTATCAGAATATAAGCTGCGGCTTGTATGTTGATTCTCATGCTAAAAAAAATGTATCTGCGGCTTATACACTGGGTGCCTTATACAGCAAACTTTGAAGGATAAAATCAGTCATGAAAGCTGCGACCTGGTCATGTGTACCATGTGCAGGTGGCACAGTCATGTTTTCGTTGGTTGTTTAGATCTGAAAACTCAATGCCTTGGAGAGTAAATAAAAATTGGAGTTGTCCGGATTTCAAGTTATTAACAAAATTCCCCATGTCATGGAGTCACAAAACACATACATGAAATGTGTACATAATCTTAAACTTTACTTGCTCTCCTAGCTTGCTTTTAGTGATTATTTTTCCACTTTTTATTCAATCTCATGGTGTATATTTTGCAGACAATTAATCATTTTACTAAGATTTTTTACTGTTATAACCTAAAAGATTTCTTTCTACCGTTAAATGAAAATCAACTGCTTCAATGATATACCATCATGTGGTAGATATTTTGTCTTTTCGTTGATCGTGTTCGGCGTGACATGCCATAGAAATTAGGAGTTTCTTCACTTGGGTTTTCTGATGACAACACTTTCTGTGGTCATGGTGGTTATCAGGAAGAATCACCAATTGGACTGTCTATGAATGGGTCTGCAGTAGCAGTCAGGCTAGCCTGAAACTTTGCACAATAGCGGTTGTTCATGCAGTGCGTGTGTGCCATACAGCAAGCATGCAACGCAACTGGTTCCAGTATGATGACTCAAACCAAGGTCTTGAAGCAGACCTTTCATTTTTTAAGCAATTTGGCAGTATTTCTTGGTCGGCGTCATGAAAACCTCGAGATAACTGGATGTAGTGTTGTGGACACTTACAGAGGTATTTTCTTTATATAAAAAGCCTATTCTTTTGGCAAGAAATTTAGTCAGCTTATGAGATAAAATGATCTTTTGATTTAACTGACTTTGTCTGTGTTGTATGTCCCCGACCGCATAACTTTTGCTGGCCGCTGAAAAAAGGCAAGAGCTGATGAACGGGTCACGCTGGACCATTGACCACACATTCAGCCCACAAAAAGAATTAAATTTGAGGACTTAAACTTCACTTTTTCTAGTGACACTCATTTGCATTTTGCTGACTTTTATTAAGATTGCATGTGTAGAACCACTGACGATACAGTATAGTACATGCTGTATTGGCACTTCAGCGCGCTGACCTTCGTGGTTCAGTCATAATTCCGCCAACTTTATTTCCTGATTTTTGCATTCTGTGGCTTATACAATATGCCACTTATATTCTGAAAATTACGGTAACTGACATATACTTCTTTGAAAAATTTGCAAGTCATATGAAACGTTTGTTTTTTAGAATGACACTTTCTTGAACTGGATCTCATGGGATTGGAACAAAATCTCATCTAGTAACCAGTCCACCTATTTTTGGAGAGACTATGTGATTTTGGGTAAGCACTTTGCAACTCTCAATAACTTGAACCCCAGAGGAATGGATAAAAAATTCAAGTTATCCAGATTTCAAGCTAACAAAAGTTCAAAATCTTGCCCACACATACACACACAGCACACAAGTAACCCTACTTGCCGCTCTGGTGTCAATTTGAGACGTTGTAAGTAGTTATTTCCTTAAATCCTACATTAAATTTCTTCTAAAGTTTAGTTTGCTGAGATTTCACGGTTTTCTTCCGTAAAAGTTTCTATTCTACTGATAAATAAAACACAAACCACCAAAACTGTGTACTTTTTGGAGACAATTGTTCAGTTTGGAACACACCACAGCATATTTGTTTGGCCAGGGCCGGCCAGGCCTGGGGTTTTCCTGTTTGGCCTTTTTTAATCACTTAAGGGCGCACCATTTTGCATTTCAAAACGTTCAAGGGTAAACAAGTTTTGAATGTGTGTTTCTGTTTGTCTTTTCATTCCCTTACCTTTCCTTGTTTAAAAAATTCAAGTAAAGTTGGCGACGCAAAGAGCACTTCCAGCACCGTGCGGGGACACATGTCAGTCAGCATGTAAGCAATGTGCGAGTACTGCAATCAGGCAGGCAGCGGCAGCCAGGCTTTAGCAGCAGCATGCACAAAGCTTCCTTCATTGCAGTCACAGGGCCAACGTAAAGAATCAATCATTGGACTGTGTGTGAGCAGGCTACATTTGGGGCATGATGCTTGAAAGCTGGGATTTGTTGAGGTTGTGGTCGCAACGAGTTGATTACAATGGTACTGGCAAGCACGCTCCTGTCCTCAGGCAAAAAGACAAAGTGCAGTGCAGTTTGTAGAAATGACTCATAATTTTAGTCTATGCATTCTTTTTCCACTTATTGTCAGTTATTTGGCGGCAGTCTTTTTGGATCAACCCTTCAAAATCTTCCGAGTTAAGTGGATGTATAAGTGTGAGTTCTGCAGGTATTTTTGTACATAAAAGCCTATTCTTTTGGTGGAATGAAGAATGTTTTCAAGATAAGTGGAGTTTCGAGTTAACTGAATTTGAGTTATCAAGAGTTTACTGTATGTGGGTAACACCCACATACATGTACTTTATTATTATGATGTCCAACTTACCTGGTGCCCATTCTCACTTTATGTGTTCGTGGGCAGCACAGCGGACACTTGTGTATTAGACAGCTAACTGTATTGCTGTTTGCTGGTCTGAGAACCAAACTTCTGTTTCCACTCTACTGTATGTGCATGTATGCAGCCATGATATGGGATTCTCACATCGCAAAGGACAGGTATCTTTGAAGTGCACCATGGGAGGATTAGCTGTTTTTGATATCCTAGATGAAATCCTGGATGAAACACTGGAGTGGGATTGACTGCTGCTTGGAATCAATTCCTCAACAAAAGTGAAAGTGGTACTTTGATTCTGAATTCCTAACCATTCCAGTATGGATTGGCCATACACTAACATGTACATGTCATTACCTGTATGAATGGGTTTGGTGTGTCACCACATATTGAGTCGATTTGGCTGTTGATGATTGGAATGATTTTTGCAAGAGGGAGCTGCACACAGCTTGGTCTGGAACAAAAAATTGAAATAATAATCATTTATTTGGTATCTTTAGAATATGTGACTCACAACTACAAATACCAATACACTTAGTCATAGGTGTCATCACAGCCTAATCATTGTCAACATAAAAACTCCATTATAAGTCTGGTATAATAAAAGGTCAAATGTGAGGCCTGTGGTTTGTGCTCAAAGTTGAAAATAGAATTGAACTCTGAAACTGCAAGTCTGGTTAAGCATCTCAAAAAAGACAATAAATGCATGAGCAAGATTCTAACTGTGTGCATATATACATACATGTATATTGCCAATACTGACTTTATTTTTTCAACAGTAACTTCTATGTAAGCATAACTGCTGCACAGCATGGAAGCAAGGTCTACATGTACATGCAACATTTTACAGAATATTAAAAGTGTTGTTTTCTTCCCTTCAAAGGAAATCAAATAGTCATAAAAAAGTCTTCACAACACCTCAAACAGTGACAACAGCCATAAGTCAGGAAAAATCTTGAATATGACCACTAGGGTGTGTGGTATCTTTCCCTATTGGCTGATGAAAAATAACATTTACCCTGATGACTGCAGGTCCGATCCTGCACAAGGTCTGAAGAATTCAGCCATGTTGTCAAGCACTCGGCTGAAGCCAATGTCTAAGCAAGTGTTGAGAACACTATGGAAGTCCGAGCTGCAATCACAAAAGTACAAATGGGTTAAGGTTGACGAGATTTAAGATATACTGTACTTGCCTTACTCATGGAATCTATCTATGATGGTTTCAAAAACAATCAATTGTGTTCTGTATAAAAGTGCTCATAAATGACAAGCTGATACACAAACACATTTTATAAAAGGCTGATGTATCAAATATATGTACAGAGCACAGTGCATGATGGTACTGAACAGTCGGTAACCAGACAATAATGTAACTTTGAACATGATTGAAAATGCTTGGTGTTTAAATTGACAGTAAATTTGACAAAAGCTTCTAAAAATGACAACGTATCAGAAATATTTTTTATTTGCAGAGGAATTGCAGGAGGTGTTGACCTTATGGTTGCTTAAATATTCTTTTTTTTCCCCCACACTATCTTTACCTTTATCCAATTATGATTTTTTACACTTATTATTCTGGCAGTTCTGTTTATAGCTGGCTTTTCCAATTAAGTTGGCGCTTACTGTGTTGTCTTTTTATATTAGCTCATACATGGGCTCAAGCTCCATGCCTGCAACTACCTGTGTATAATCAAGTCTATTTTGGTTGTCTTATCATACCATTGTACACCACTGTATTAATAATTCCTTTGTCTTTTTGTGTTGGTGGGGGTTTGTGTGTGTTTGTAGTTTGTCGGAATATTCTACAAAAAAACACTGCTTGTGATATGTTTAAAATTAATGAAAAGTCATCTTGGTAGACGACATTTGCTCATACTTTGACTCTGATTGTTTTAATCAAACAATACAGCAGCTAACTTTTCAACTTTTTACCTAAACTCCAGGAGTCTCAGTGAACATTTCTTTGATGTTCAGGATTACCTTCATTCTCTTACTACATGTAGTTCCTTCTCTTTGTATGGTTTCACTGAGACTTGGTTCGAAGAAACTTCCCTGTCCTACATGCATAGTCACAAGAATAATTTCCATCTTGTTCATTCTTCACAATGTTATCAGGTAGGGAGAGGAGTTGCCCTCTTTGTCACTGACACAGATGATCTCATGTCTTCCTGTGAGGACTTCAAATGTATGTTGAGATTATTATTTACAGAGTTCCTTGCACATCCACTGACAATTTCCAAATTCATTTGAAATCTGCCTCAATAAGATCACTCAAGAGAAGAAGCTGTGCTAAATGTAATAGGTGGCTTCAACCTTGATCAATCTGACCAATTATTTTACTCACCAGCCTACAAAGGATTTTGTGAAAACATTTTATGTCTATGGTCTCCGTCCATTGATGATAACCAACTCACATTACTCCGATACAGTTCCACTCTTATTGATAACATTCTTACCAACAATAACATGGCCATTTGTGCCTCAGTCATACTTTATGCTGATCTCTGACCATTTCTCCTTTTTCAGATTACTTTAAACTGTTTCAAAAGTCCCCATTCATCCCAAGTACATGTACCTACACTGTAAGAAACATCTACAACTCTACACTTCTAGCTTACAAAGCTGATATTGAACATGCCGACTGGAGTGAACTTCACAAATGCACCAATGCACAGCCAGCATACGACACCTTTCTTCATCACTTCTCTGTTCTACACAATCACCATTTCCCATCTGTATGAAAAGCAAGCTGTAATTAACAGTAAGAACTAGCCATGGATGTTCCAGGGAATACTGAATTCCTGTATTTACAAACACAGTCTGTAAATAAGGGTTTCTTACATTTTAAACCCTACATTTGCAAATGAACAGAGGTACCAAAAGTTTGCAATAATCTTACTGAAGTCATTCAGGTGGCAAAGAAAAACCACGATGCCAACAGTAGCTGCTCAATAGAATGCCCAAGGTACATGGTGCAAAAACAACAACATCTTGAGCAAGAAAAAGAAGGATGATTGTCCTGATAACTTCAACCTTAATGCTCCATCAATCTAACTCTAACCCCTCCGAGATTGCCAATACCTTCAACTCTTACTTTTCCAGGATTGGATCAACACTGGCAAGCAATATTCCAGCCACCGATACAGATTATCCCCATGATAGATATCTTTCTTCCTTTTTCCTAACTCCAACTGATTTCTTAGAAATCTCCTACACTGTTCATGAACTTTAACGCTAGTTTTTTTGTAGCTGGGGGAAGCAAAATTGAGAGACTCAATCGAGATTGAGACAGAAACGGTCAGAGAAAGGGAGAGAATAATTTAAGTTACACATGTAGATTGTGAGTGGAAACCGATGATAGCCAGGGTTTGGTTGATTCTTCCATCTATCAGTGTGGCAAATTAAACAGTGCCCAAATTCATCAGCTTGTGATAGTATCATACTGGTACCTGTATAGCAGCACCCAACCTGGGACCGCTCATCAAGTAATAAACAAAGTCCAAAAACCACAAGTTCCTAAATGAACTTAGGGTAAATTCAGAGTAAATTAAGTGGTGAGACTTAGTTTAAAATATACGAAAAAATTTCTCTTTGCTTTGTGATAGAAAAACTGATTTGTAGAAATGTGTGCAGAGCGACTCAGTCTCAAAGAAATGTCACAGGATTCACTAAATTTCACAGCAAGGTGTATATTTAAGTAGAGCAGAAAGATTCATTTTGCCTACAATTGTTGAAGTTCAAATCATGAAGTGGAAATTGTAATTAGATTATCTGTATTGTGTTAATATATGTTATTTAAATTTTTAGATGGCCTTTATAATGCCGCTGACAACTTGGGTGTAGGCACTGAGCTGTACGGGGAACAAAGACCCATCGGTAATACTACCGACAGAGGGGGCTTCCCAAGATCAGGGAACAGAGGACAGAGAGTGCTGTCTGAGGCTGCCATACATTGCCTAGAAGGCAAAGCTACATTGATAAATTGATCATCATCTTTTTTATGCATTTAAGATAAAACTGAGCCTAATCACTATTTTGTGTGTCTAAGTGAATATTGTATATGTAAATAAATCACACAAATTTTAGACGTATAAGAGAATGATGTACTTTGATCCTACCTTTTAGTTGTTGAGGAGTTTAAATGAATCCTGGGCCACCACAAGCTCAAAAGTCAGAGATTAATTCCTTCTAACAAGCCTGAATATAAACAAAGTAGTGACACTTTGCAACCATCATCTTCTATTTGGGCAACAAGTTAGTTTCCAGAGTAATACATGTATTCTACAGATATGGCCTTGATCCGTCTTCTTGATTACCTCTCTAACTCCCTCTCTGACAAACTACACTCTGTTGGCGTATTTATTGACCTATCAAAGACTTTGGATAGGATTGATCATTCTATTCTCTTATCTATACTTGAAAATTATGGAGTTAGAGGTGTCGCTCTTCAATGGTTCACTTTGAAAAATTGTGATTCCTCTTCAATGACAACCCATCAGGACGTGCCTCAAAGATCTATTCTCGGTGCTTTACTTTTTCTTCTGTACATTTACAATCTTCATTATTGACCTACACTGTTACCTTTATCCTCTTTGCTGGTGACACTGCTATTCTGTTTTCATACCTGAACCCTGTGTCTACTGTCAGTATCTTGAATTCTGAGCTTGTCAAACTTTCTGCATGGTTCAAGGCAAAAATTCCCCTTTAATTCCTCTAAGACTAAATACATGTACATGATTTTCAGTGAGTCTCTCAACCTACATGTAAGTCTGCATGAACCTGTAAAGATAAATGTTTCTGCCATCAGTAGAGTTCACTCTACAAAACTCCTAGGTGTCAGAATTGATGATAAACTCTCGTGGTCTTAACATCACATTGCTGCTGTTTCTTACACAGGTAGGCAAAACTCGAATGACCTCCGTCCATTTCTTCTAAGCACCACTTTACCCATGTTATATACGTGTAACACACTAATTCTTCCCTATTTGAATTACTGCAACATTGTCTGGGCATGCACTACTGCAAACTCAATTCTCTTACCAAAGTCCAGAAAAGAGTAATTCGTATATGTACACTGTTGCACGCACGTGATCACACTGCACCACTGTTTGCCAAATCATGTACCATACATTAATCACGGACATTACTAAACTCCACACCAGTACCTTTATGTATAACACCCCTACGATGTTTCCAGGATTTCTTCCCAAATAATACCAATAATTGCCTTGTCAAGTGCCAATCGGCAGCCCCCGATCCCACTGCCTTCAGCTTGTTAGTTTCGGTGGCCCAAACACGGATAGTTGTAAACAAGGTGTGCCGCATCAATCAAGGGGACTAAAATAATCAGCCAATGGCGATACCACATGTACTCCATCCAGGGATTCACTGCTTCATTGGCTTGCCTTATATGGAAGGTGGGAACATGCTTATTTGGTGAAATCGAACAGCGGTGAATGCGCACATAGCTTGTGGGCTGCAGGTCGAATGCCCACCTTGCCTACTTGACAAGACTAGACTTTATTACAAATCTCTCACATGTAGAAGGAAAATGACGCTCCGATTGGGGTTTGCAGCTTTCATGTGGGGCTGCAGCATGCGCATCCGGACCACAGTGAAATATGAAGAGATATAACGTGTCAAGGCAAGTCTAGAGTAGCAAGCTGCATGCTTTGTTCTGGCGGTCAATGGGCCAGGCTATGTGGCTGCGCTGGTTGCATAATGGTGCCAGTAGGTAAGACCGCTATCAATATGTACATGATACATGTAGGTGTACGGTGTACAACATACAGTACGCACGTGTACAGTACATGTACTGAACGTGTACATGGTGTACTTCACGGCTTTGCCTCAGCAGGTCAAGTCTGATGACCGAGAGCCGGCACAAATTGCAACTCCTAAAGTCAGATATGAGCTCTTATTCCTCCTTGAGTCAGATAAGTTTCAAGAAGTTCATGTAAATAGACATAGACAAACATTTTATTGCCAACTTCGCAAATTCAATGATTTTACAAGGACACAATAATGGCAGACATAGAAATACCTTTGACCTTAACATTATTATATTTTTCTTTGAATGACTCGGAACCGGATATTTATGCGGAACCGGAACCGATTCCGTAAATGGTGGAGCCACCCAAGCATAGTATTAATACATGTATACTAAACAATCTTCTTCCCTGCCCATTTTCATCATACTTTACCTAGGCTGTTAATGATATTCACCAACATCACACCAGATCGCACAACCACCTGCATGTTCCATTTACCCATACATTGTACTTTCTATTCGGATGAACACCTTGCACTTTTATGGACCTTGCCTTTGGAATGGACTTGATCAAGGTATTAAATATCAGTCCTCTGTAGATCAGTTTAAGAATGAGTATAAAAGGCATCTGCTCACTCGGTATAGGGCATTAGCTTCTTTGTCATTTAGCTTTCTTTGTACTTATTTATTGTTTGATTTTTGTTAATTCTATCATCTCAGCGTTCCCTGCCTATTTCGTATGTTTCTGTTATTATTTATTCATCGGCATTGACATGTTCATATTTCATTTAATTGTTCTTCATAGTATTACTTTGTTCTTTTTGCTCCAACTATACATTTCCTTTGTTTGTCTCTGCAATTTTTGATGTTTTGTGTTGTTTTGTTTGTTTCATGTAGTGTAGGCATCTCCTTACAAGCCCCCGGCTTTGGAGGTATACCAGCAGAATTGCTTCTTGATTTATAGTTCTTTTGATTTACATTTCTACATGTGTATTTCTAAGTAACAATTTTCTTCACTAATCATTTGTAAATTTGTTATATCAAAATTATGGTGATATGGAAATAAATGTTGATTGATTGATATACATGTACAGGTTTTCTAAATTCTGGAGAGTTTCAAATTTTTCATCAAATTATTAGTACATGCAAAGTGTCACAAGAGGAACTGCTGTAGACACCAAAAGCCTGCAACCTTGTTACACCTACAGGTAAGATAGTAGAGGGACGCCACTTAAAATATGCAAGCAGGCTCAGGAACCTAGAAATGCACGATTTGAGAGAAATCAGCAAAGTTCATTGTGTCCATGTTAAAGCAATATTAGACATTTTGAGCATTGATTCTGTTATGAACAACAAACATGTCGTTTTTAAATTGGTTATACATGTAGTTGGATGTGGCTTAAAACATCAAATGTGTTTAAACTCTATCTTCCAATTCTCACGATTTCAACTGACAATCTAAACTGTGAGAAAAAAGGATCACCTTTTGTTTATTTGATGTAACTTGGTTACACCATCTTGGCTGTGTCTTACTGGTGTTGACAATGTTTTAAAAGCATTAATGTAATGCTGTACAAAATGTGTTCCAAGTAAATATATGCGACTAAGTTCTGAATGGGAAATATTGGATTTATTTTCAGTCAAACTGTTTTCTTAGTCATGCTTGATCAGTTTCTCAGGTTGCTGTTTTATTTGTGGAGTATGTACATGTATTAGTATACCCTAGTTTAAAATAAATTCAGTTTAGGAAAAACAATTATAATCTTTCCTCTGAACTTCCTGGAAGCCTTTGTCGTTCTTTAACTAGTAAACGCAAAATATAAAGAAGCATGCATCACTGGACTAGCATGTACATAAAGTTGTGACAGAAACTGTAACCTTTGTTATGCAACTTTTTCTGAACCTATTTTTCACACTCTTGCTTCATTTCTTGAATTATTTTGTCTATTGTGTTAACTGAATATTTTATAAAGCCAAACAATTCAAGATGTTGAATTATTTTACTTGTTATAATTCAACAACTTACATATATGAATTAATGCAGTAAAGGACACTAGTAGACCAAAATAGAAGCTTCAAATGCCAAGTGTGTTCATGTTACAATCATTGAAACTACGTGGGACACACAACAATCTAACAAGAAGCTCAATGATATGTCAAGTCATTTAAAAGTTGCAATAATGGAAAGCGCTTTGATTGGAGTTAAAAGTGCCATATAAAACCCTTATTATTATTAATAAACAGGAGATGTACATGTAAATGATTAACTTAATATGGCTTGAAGCTTTTTTCAGTATCTGCAAGTGTATACATAACAAGGACAGTGTTCGTGGAGCGTCTTGCTGCTGAATGTAAATTATAGCCATCCCATCAAACTGATGGCTTCCATTTGAGTAGTACACGAGTAGTACATGTAAAATTTGAGTAGTACATGTAAAATAATGTAGAACTGTAACATACTTTCACCTTTAATTGGTTGCTGCTGTAAGAACTAATGAAAGATATTGATGCTTGCAATGTTGTTTTGAAAATGAATCTAAATGACTGAAATTTATCATAATCCTCATTTTAACTTTGAGGTAGTATTTACATTCAAAATCAGTCCAAGTGGTATCACTTTGTGGTGAATAGAATCAGCTGAGTCTTAAACAGGTCAAACCATCATTTATTAATTTGCTGTCCATGTTACATGTACTGGACATCCAAACTTTCAGTAAAGATCCATTTCATGCTGCTGATTAAAATGTGTCCCCATAATAAACGGACCAAATTAGATTAGTTTATGAAAATTAAGACTTCCACACCTAAAAATTGAGAAATCTCTTTAAAACATTTTCAACTTTTGACTTTCATGTCACACCTGGCGGAGTGACCCATACACCAGAAACATACCTTTCCAACATGTCTCTTGTCTCTAGCATGAGCTTGCTGATAATGAGTTGTTCTTCTAGTATATGACAAGCTGAGTCTTGACCCAGACCATCATCTTCCTCCACAGGCACCATGTACCTTACCAGTGGATGAATAGTGCATTCCATTCCAGAGCCTATCACAAATAAAGCAGTCAACACAAGTCTATTTCAGATCATTTGTACAAATCTTCCGAGGGTTTACAATCCTGTCACCACGATAGGCATTGAGACCACACAATACAAGTACGTGTACATTCAAAACTTCTAATTGATATTTAAGTCACTAGGTGAAACTTGTGTGTATAAGCCCAGGTAAAAGACATGAGGCATCTTTTCTCTGTGTGCAAAGCACTGTTGGCAGGCTCTATGGATTTGTTGGAGCTAGATTCAACTGCAAATTCAACCAGATCAGGGCCACAAGAGTTGAGGCTAATCCTCCAAAAAGCTTAGAAACAAAGCTTCACGCTAACTCCTTGAAGATACAGAATTAATTTTGTTCCAATGCATGTATAGAATGCAGGAGCTGTTAGCTGCCTACGAGAGATGAAAAAAAATCCCAACACAGCTTTGTTAGTCAGCCTGGACACAGCTTACAACAATTTCCAAGATGATTTTTTGGCTAGTATGGTGCCTGGTATGGCCATCAGCAAGAGATGACCCATACTATAGCAGCTGGCTCTCCCGTTGACCAACCCTTTAAACAGAAGAAATTACTTGGTAGCCATTGGCTCCTAATGGGGAAAAAAACTAGGCACCAGCACTTTTATGAAAGTTTAGTAATCACGTGTGCTGAATATTCATGAATATGCATATGCACATGTTGTATAAATACTCTGTGTTTACAATGTCCATCCATGCCATACAATCATGACCCAGCGCGGCCCGACACACATACACCACACAACTCGCATGAATTTACACGAGTGCCAATGAGGTCAATCCACAAAATCAGGGTTCTTGCCAAGGGGTTCAGCCACAGACATTATGACATCCGTAGTTTCAGCGTGTCACAGGACACCCTGCTGCATGAATCGCGGTATTTCTGACACTCTAAATCACAGCAACACCGTTTAATTCTGCCATGAACTTCGTTTAAGGCTTCATTTACATTGCAGCAAAAAAGCAGCAAAAATGGAGCCGATGTCGTAGTTTGTAAAATGGCCCTGTGTCCGTATACAGTGCATCAACAATGTATGTTTAGATCGGGAACCAACACATGCATGTGATCGTAATCGTGCAGTAAAAGTACAGTATTGTATATGTACATATACAACATTTACATTAAGCTTTAAATCCATGATGTGGCTTGCACTGTGCTGCCATTTCTACTTTTCCAGAACAAATTTTGAGTACATTATTGCTTTTTTGATTGCTGTTTGTATTGTACATGTAGTTATGTAAATAGAAAGATCTGGGGCTTGTAATTAGTCCAGTTATATGAGGAGAGTGAAGTACATTTCTCATTGAACAGCAAGCAAAACTGCGTCCAGTCAACTGATGTTATGCAAAAAAGGACATGGAAAATTATCATGTCGAATAAAACTGAAATATCTCATGTCTCTGACTTGCTAGAATGATATACATAAATGTTTGATTTGGCATACATGTAAGATATGTACATTGTGCATAGGTTCTTAGGTACATGTACAGTGGTGCAAAATAATAAGAAGGATATATGTAGTTATTTTACAAAAACCTTATTATTAACACTAGGTTTGTGCGGTACTCCTGATTCTGAGTGGAATCGCGGTTCCAAAAATGTCATATTTACTTGCTAGCACAGTGGGCCAAATCATAGCCATGACACCTCCATTGGGCAATGTGACGACCAATGTCCAATCTGCACCATGTACATGTAATTAGCATGTTGATACATGTACGTGTATTCCTCTGTCGGAACAGGCCCAAGTTGAACTGAACGTTTGGAAGGAAAACATCAAATTTGAAACCTGTCCCAATGGAAATTCATCAAAGGTTTCATAATGTTGTCTACTGGGACGCTAGAAATGTTGGCAGAGCAGGTTATAGTTGGCAATGATGAAGCTTTTGTTCATGAAGCATGAGATTACACTGAAAAGACTAAAAACAGCACATGGAAAGAACTGAAAGCAGCACAATTGGCACTAGAAATTTTCATCCAAATATTGGAGGGAATAATGTAAAATGGTTTACACTCGGCCAAAATGTTACCAACACTAGTGACATTGGCAAACCAGAATTAAAAGAAATGGCACGATGTATTCATGTTCAGAGTCAACTGTCAACAAAATACATGTACATTGTAGCACTTGTCTGAGAACCGAATGGATTCCAGGCTCCAAAGATGACAAAGCAGATTCGCTGAGTCAAATTTTGGAGGTTTGGTCAAAAAGTAAAAATAAAAATAATAACCCCTAAATGAAAAGCTTGAGTCTCGGTCTTCTCCGGCTGCTTCTCGACTCGGCAAAATTGTTGTAGATAGATAATTACAAGACTAAATACTAAGAAAATGTGGCCTTCCGCGGGGATATTCACCGTAAGGAGCAAACAAGCCGGATCCTACCCCTACATCCAGACACAAGTGAACAAAATAAAATGGCTGCTAGTTGAATTCAGTAGTGGACCAGTGGCTTCTTGAAGCTTTGCTGCACAGCGAAGGAGTGAGTGGCATGCTGTTGTTGTTTATTTTAATGGCGCTTTCAGCAACTCGGGCTATTTGTGCCAATAACTGTACGTTTATTCATACACTTTATTAATCAGCACCACATTACGGAGTTAGGAAGAAGGTCCAGTTTTAGAGGCAGGAGGAAACTGGAGTACCCGGAGAAAACCTGCGAGAGCGGGTATAGACGGGAAACTACATGCATTTAAAGCCTGGGTCAAGCCGGGACTCGAACCTGGGCCTCATTGGTACAAAGCGAGGAAAGAACCACTACGCTAACCCGCTCCCCCGAGTGGCTTGCTGCATGTGCTGAAGCTTTTTATACTGCTTTACTCCATGGAGTGCCCTGCCCTGTCCATTGAATTTAATTATAAAGGCTGTAGGTCTGGACAATGGGGGGATTATCAGGACTAGGAAAAAAGAAACAGGACAGGAGTGTAGAAAGCTATTCCAGAATTCACTGTAAAATTATGAAGACTGGCCACTTACACAGGAAGTATGATAAGGGTTGGGCCCCCCCCCACACAACTGATCAATTTGCCAATTGGAATTATAAGAAGAACACACCACTCTGGTTCAATTCTTGATTCTGGGATCCAATTCACAAAACATACAAGCATGTACAGAGATGTGGTCAGGTGAGAACAACTGACCAGTACTACCAATATTTCTTAATGCTGAGACTGTTTTGAATTCAGAACCAAATAAAGCAACATCACTTAATGGATATAGAGCTTCACATCATGGACTGACATCATTAAACAACATTCATAAATACCTCAGACAGTCTCCCTATTCAACAACGTGCAACTTGACCATGTATTAACATTTGATAATGCCCTCCAGGAAGTGATAATGCCCGCTGTGTAAATCACTCACTGGAGCCTGGAGACGAGACAGTTTAGTTGATTCTGATTGGTCAAGAGTCTGTGTGCATGTGGATTGCCATGTGCCCACCAAGTCCATATTAGGTGCTTCTTTTGGACAACTACATGTATAAAAAGAAATGGAAGTTACCTCCTACAAAATTGTTGGAAATCCATCATGTATTGACGTTTTTGGCCTCTCTGACTAAAGAGATATTTAGATTGGGAATAAATACACACACATGTATGTGCTTGGCCTGTTGTAAATGCACGTTTGAGATCAGCCAAGCACATACATGTATTTATTCCCTCAATGGTTTAACAGCACAAATACATGTACATGTATGCAGGAATGTCAACAGTCACTCTTGTGCATGTGTTTTCTATATGGAACACAAATATGCACAGGTTCAATGTGTATACAGCTGGTTGCCAGCACAAAGGTTCTTTTGTGCAGTCCTCTTCACGGCATTGGGTTTACTGCACAATTATGTACATGAAACAGTGAAGCACAGTTGTTGGCAGAGGTACCAGCAAGTCATTTTTTGCAAGTGCAAGTCAAATCAAAAGTCATTATATGCAAGTCCAAGTCAAGTCACAAGTCATTAAGTCCAGTCACAAGTCATTTGGTCACAGGGCAAGTCAAGTGAAGCTACCGGTACAAGTCAGTAGGTCCAGTCACAAGTCAAGTCACAAGTCATTAGGTCCAGTCACAAGTCATTTGGTCACAGGGCAAGTCAAGTCAAGCCACAAGTCAGCAGGTCCAGTCACAAGTCACTTAGTCACAGGGCAAGTCCAGTCAAATCACAAGTAATTTGGTCTAAACACAAGTCAAGTCACAAGTCTCTTTGTCCAAGTATAAGTCAAGCTGCACCTTATTCGTCCAGCTGTAATAAGGAAAAAGAACCAGGCATCAACTTACGAAGTTACTAGTTACGAATTTCAGACAGCTGAACACCTTTTCTCCAATTATTTTGACAATCTCCGAAATTCCCCTTTTCGCTTGTGTTGTAATTCCTTTTCTTGCAGTTTATTGTATATCTGTCGTACATTGGACCTTTGTTTAATGTACTTTGCAGGGTGGAAAATAAGCGTTGAGATGAAATGATGACATATTGAGGGCGCTGTTTATCCTACTCACGCGTCAACAAAATGCAACGTAGCAGCATGATATGCTTGCTGCCCTGATCAACAGCTGCAGCTAAGTGAAATAGAAGCCACGCAAGCCGAAGTCCATTTTTTATGTACGTAAGGCGTAAACTGAATAGCTTAATTAAAAATATATGGGGGCCTGTCAATTAGCATCTGACTTGGGTTGGTAACAAGTCATTTTTTGCAAGTCACAGTCAAGTCACAAGTCATTTTTTGCAAGTCCAAGTCAACTCACAAGTCAAAGCTGGTATTTACAAGTCAAGTCACAAGTCACAAAAATAGCGACTCGGATCCAACTCGAGTCCAAGTCACATGACTCGAGTCAGCAACTCTGGTTGTTGGACAGCACAAAAGTACAATCTGATATTCCTATGAGGGATAGTTGGTGCAGTGCACTATATGACACAACTGTGCATCTTTGTGCGGCATATCAACTGAGTCAAAGAGTGACTTCAGCATAGGAGAGTTGACATCATAAATCGGTACATTTGGCATTCCAAACAAGAACAGGTCAATAATGTGAGCATTTTTTTCACACTAGCCTACCACAAATTTGCAAACAAATTGACCAGAAAAACACTGCAGAACTGGTCTATGCCTTTACAAAGTACTTTGACTGCTGTAACTTAGTGCTCAATCTGCCCCACTCCTCAAGTTCAAAATTATAATGCACACGGTCATACAGAACTATGTGGCTAAACACTCTCATCACCCCACCAACAATCAACGCAATTCTTTGTCCACTTAACTGGTTATCCATTTTCAAACACACTGAGTCAAAGTTCTCCTTCTCACATACAAATGCATTAAAAGATCTGCCCTCCAAGTCTCAAATGTGCGATTAAGACCGGCTAAGGATAACGGAGGTGACTAATGCCTGAGCCGCAGGTGAGAACATTATCAGCATTCCAGCCAAGCATGTTTATTTTCATTCATAAATATCTTTTTCAGTCAGAGAGTCAAAAAAGGCAGTATACATGACAGATTTCCATTAATTGCATTCTAGAATGTTACTTTCATTTTTCCGAATACCCGTCCATTTTATTGTATATTCCTGGTGCAAGTTGTCCAGAAGAAACTCCATACACGTATATTATGACTGAGACAATTAGAAAAATAAATTATTTGAATATGCGACCTTCAATTCGATCACATATCCGAACATTCGGTCATACCAACAAACCATATACAAAATCAGTTGCAATAACACACAATTATACATTATAATCACTATAATAGCTTCTCACTTCTAGGGATATCTCCAGCCAAGATTTAGCAAGATTTAACAGATGAACAATACTTCTTACCCTGTTGAAACTTTCTGTTTCTTTTAAATTATTAATTAGTTTTGAATCATTGTAAGATACACTATTCTGTGGCTTTTCATTTCAATCTGCTTGAAACAACCTTCCATAGTGCAATTTTTCTCATTTAAAACAAAAGAAAATTCTTCCTTCCTTCTTCATGAATTCTGCAATCAAATATTCAAATTTGGAAAATAGTATTTGAATATCCGGCAATCGAATATTTGGAACAGCCCCACCATATATGGACTTGGGGCACGTAGCAGGTTCTGCAAGCCACGTCGCATGCAGACTCATGACCAATTGGGATGCTTTAATCTATCTCGCATCCAGGTGCCAGAGCGTTTCTTACGCAGCCGGCATTATCAAACCTAAGTGGGTTTCATGTAATGTTTACACATGGTCACGCTACACGTTGTTGAATAGGGAAACTGTCTGAGGTACAGCATTTATGAATACTATTGAATATATGTACCCTGTATGCACATACCTTGTTCCCCAAGTTTAGCTGCTTCCACCTGGCATCTTATACTGCTACACAGTCTCTCAATGTCTCGTAGGCCAAGCTTCTTTTGCAATGGCATACTGTATAACAACAATTTGTTGGAAAAATAACTGTTAGCTACATCATTATGCACATGTTTACATGTACACGAAAAGTTTGACATCTGTGAGCTGTATTCCTTACATTTTCAAGAAAATAACAATTTGTATGTCTTGATGGTCTGAGAGCACATCACATGGTGTTATCAATTTTTATTGATTCTTCCATGCAAAAGAGTATGATAAAAAGTACAACTGAATGGCAGCCCCATGCTGAAAAGTACTCAGCTACATGTACATGTATTAATCATAGCAACAAGAGTTCAGAGTTTCTATGTAATGGCCATACACTCACCCCTTGAACAATATGCATGTCAAGAAGTTGGAAAGGGAGGAACACTATGATTGAGGGGAAATTTGAAAATGTACAAGTTACATTCCAATTCATTTCGAGTTGAGCTAGTATGATATCAATAAAGCTATGCAAATCTGTGTGTGACTACTTTATCTAATGAAACAATAAGTGTTCATGTTCCCTTAGCTTTGCATTAAAAACTAGAACACACAACCAATCACACAATATGCCCACTAACAGTGTTATGTGGACATCATTTGTTGCCAGATCAACACAAGGAATACATGTACATGTATACATGGTACGGTAGCTGTTTGTACACACACCTGATGAGGCTTGTTTTATCAAATAACTCAAAGCAATCAATAGCCATGTGCCAGTCCTTCACCGACATGTGCATGTACTGTACAGTACATGTACATGTTTGTTCCAAGTGAGTAGATAAATGTAAGTATAAAAATGCAAGTCTGCTTCGACAGATTGCAAACATTTCCTTAACAGCTCTACAATGCAATGTTCTGTCCGAGACCTTGATGTCCGAGACCAAGGCATTCGAAGCCAAGACTGAGACATACTCCTTCTAGACTGAGACTAAGGCTTCAAGACAGAGACTTTTGCAGGTCAGGACTGAGACCTGGACTGAGACTGGGTCTCCCGACCTACAACACCGCTTCAATGACAAAAAAAATATTCTTATAATTTTTTTTATGCATTCCAGGATTGAATTCATTGAAATGGTCTTTGTGCTAAGCCTGCAAAGTACATCCAAGAATATCATATAAGCTACATGTACGATTCTTTGCCTTTAGTTGTAATGTGTTGTAATACAAAAGGTCCATCAGCTACAGTTTACATGCAGTTTGTTTCAGTAAATTTCACTTGCTCTTAAGCCCTAAAATCATGGTGATTAGAAGATCTCTGACCTTGCAAGGACATTGGTCACAGCCTCCTTTACTGCAGATACCAGGCTGAACATACCTTTGCATGCAAAAAAATAAAACATGTTACATTTTGGCTGGTAAAAAGGGTGGCCTGTTCATAGCATACATGTACATGTATGTAAATGTATGAATCCAAGTGAGAAAAGACTTGCATTAGCTGCAGTCTCAAGGAAAACGGGGAAGAGTTGTTTCTTTCAAAAGAGCGAGGATGTGCGGTGAATCTACTGCTTGTTATGTGGCGTTTGCTACAATTATCAGCAAATAGTTGATGTAAAGTTTATGCACCTACCATCATTCAGAAGGTACTGTACATTAGACAGGTATCTTTGCTGCACCTCTGGTGTTGCTAGTACCCTTTCTTTATTCTACACAACAAGAAAAATGCAAAACAAAAGCTTTAAAATAAAGCCATCTTGATCCACTTACTGACCGGGATATTGACCTACATGTACATGTACATTGTATGAAATCAGTAGATCCAGTTACATGTATGTCATAGCTGATGTACAGTGTACAGGTAGTCCCTGTCCTGTACACATGACAGAAAGTATCGGAGCATGTACATGTATCTGCATGAGATCCAGCAATAATAATTGATATTATCAGTTAGTCATGCAGCTGAAGCCACTATGGTACTGTACCGGTACATGCAATGCAGTACTTAAGTTTAAAAAATTCCTTTTGAACAATTTTCTTTTCCAATGCAGCATTTTACAAGGATTTTCATTAACATGGATCCTTGAAATAAGACGCAACATACGGAATGACAGGAGTTAACATGTGCAAGCCCCCATATAAGCTCACTGAAATGCAGTTAAGAATGTTAGCATTTATTTACAATAGTCAGGATTTTGAATACAGTAAATTAACATCTTTTCATTTGGTAAAATTCAGAGGCTTTTTGTTCATAATTTTTGAGCAGTAAACACAGTAAAGAAATACATGTAGTTGTTATACAGTCAGGCATATGAATGGGTACCAGAAAAAAATTGACGGAAAAAATTGTGATCCACGGCACGTTGACAGGCTAAACCTGGCCTTGGCCTCCCCCCCTTGACAGTGAAACAAATAGACTGTTTAAAATAAACTATGTATATGTACCAATAAATTCTATTTTATTTACACATCATACCGGTAGGAACCCTACTAGTGATATTCCTAATGTACGTGTACAGAAGAGCTGTACAAAGTGAATCTTTGCACCTCATACCGGTAGAGCTGGGGGGGGGGAGAGAATCCCCTTGAATTTTTGTCCAACATGGCCACAGTACACGTTTATTAGGAGCTGAGTCTTTTAGAGATTTTTAGAGCAACTCTTTGAGGTTATTTGACACCAAATTTGTGAACATCAAACAAACTGTTTTTACCTACACGGCAGTGTCCATTTTCCCTGACACAGGTCAGCTAACTACATGTTTGTACATGTATACTTTTCCACTGCCATGCTCATGCATGTGGGCATGCGGGCTGGCATGTGTGTACATGTACGGTATACATGTGCCGTAGCCTTAAACTTCAAATTATTATAACAACAAAACCATATGTCTGACTGAGTCTAAACTTCAAATTCAAATATTAGGTCTCAAAAACAGTAAAAACATGAAATAGCCTCTATTACAATGGTCTGTAGTTCAGACATACATGTAGGATTTATAATGTACGTGAAGCTCAGCATTACACCAGTGTGACTTGAGTACCCATTTGGACCTGCCTCCACTATGCAAGCCCGGTGACAGTCCAATAAATTCATGCTACTTGTACAGTTAAACATACATGTACATGCAGTGAGACATCCAAATAAATGGCATATGTATAGCTTTAAAACATCAACTTATGAGGTGCAAGGTAAAGACACGCAGTGCATAGTACATTCTACTGTATGTGAATAAAATTGTGCATGCTACATCTGTGTGGCCCACGGGTGTGCCCACCTAGGATCAAGGATGCAGAAGGACTTAAGAAGTGGACACACACAAAAGAAAACAGAGCAGGATAATCCAAACATAGAAAACCAATAGAAAACAGAAATTTCACGTGCCTGTACCATACATGTACA